CGCGTGCGGGCGGTGGGGCCCTGTGGGGGGGGGGGGGTGTGAGGGTGGGGGAGGTCACATCCCTAACGCCTCCCGAGTTCTTCCAGGAGCAGAGCCTTGTCAGGGGGGGCCTCCAAAGACGTTGCTCCGCTCTTGCTCTCCCCTTTGCAGCTGGAGCTGGATGAGATGGCCCCCAGCTACTCCTGCCGGCGACGCGCCCCTCCCCGGGCCAAGTACAAGCGCTTGGCCCAGGAGCTGCTCTTCGACCCGGACTGGCCCCCGCAGCCCAGGACCAGCACCAAGGGCCAGGCCCCTCCCGCCGAGAGCAGCGCTTGACCGACCCCGGCTGCCCCCCCAATCCAGGGCGGAGGGGGCAGGACGAGGCATGTGGCAGGGAGTGGTTGCAGCACGACGGAGGCGGAAGAGACGGCTGGGGAGGGTTAGGGTCTTCCAGGAAAAGGCAGGCGGGGCCGATACTCAGGATGCTTTTTCGAGGGGGGGCAGGAAGCTGGGGATCAGGAAAATTTCCCTTTGTGATTTCACGTCGGCTGGGGTTTTGTGGCGGAAAGGTGAGGGGGCCTGTCCAAGCTGTGGGGATGCAGCCCGTTTTGACACACACACGGCCACAATAGCTGAGTGTTCAGCCCTTGGGGCCCCTTCCCTGTCTCGTTCCCCCCCCCCAAGGCCCTCCCCTTCCAGCCACCACCATCCCTCTCGGTCCAACCTCGGTCTAACCTCGTAGGGGGGACCTGCCCTGTTTTGGTTTCTAGCATCCTGGGAGCAAAGAAGCCCTGGGAGGGTAGAAGCGTCTCCTTCTGAACTGAGAAGCTGGGGGAAATTTCCTCCCAAACGGAGGGGTGGGGGGGGAGAGCTTTTAACCTTCTTCCTGCTGGGGTTCCTTTTTTATAATAATAATAATAAAGATGATTGTATGTACTACTTCTCCACTATTGCTGATGGTGGGAGGCAAAAAAAGGAGATGGCCCTCCCACGTCCGGAAGGGGGGCTCTTATTCACCTCTGCTTAGGGGCAAATCGGCTGTGCCCGATGGGGGGGGCTTTTTGGTCTCCGCTGGGCCACTGGCCTGAGTGTGCGTGCTCTGGGATCCGGAGGGGTGGTGCTTAGGGGTCGGCGTTAAAAGCTAAAGCAAAGAAGAAGGAAGAAAGGGCTGGTTTTTGGGGTTGGGGAGGGTCCTTTGTGGGCCCCTTTCGCCTGCCTGGCCTGGTCAGAGGGTGGCCGCCTGGCTGGGGATGCTGGAGGTTGTTGTCCAAGAAGATGGTTCCCAGGCTCTGATCGGGTGGGAAGGGCAGGGGCTCCCCTCCCCCCTCCCCAGTGCGGACAGGCGGTCCCTGCACAAGCTGAGGCTATTGTGCCCCCCCCCGGCTCCGAGTGGCCTGCCCTTGCTTGCTTGCTTGCTTGGGCATTGATCCCCGGGAGCTCGAGGGTGTGTGTGTGTGTCAGAACGAGGTGGGGGGGGCGGGGGGGAGAAAGAGAGCAAGTGGATCTTATGCAGTGCCAAAATAGGGATGCTCAGTACGCAAGTGGGGAGGGAGGCCGGGGTGGGATTACACCGGGGGAGGGGAATGGCAGAGACGAGTGGGTGCATGGATTCTGGGAGTTGTAGTCCAAAGCAGTAACTTGTCCCATCACCTTATTCTGGGAGTTGTAGTCCAAAACAGTAACTTGTCCCATCATCTCTCTGGGGCAGACAGGAGAGAAGCCAAGCAGCGCTTGAATGCAGAATGGGGTGGGGGGTAAATCCGGTAATGGTCTTGACCCCTGAGCCTCACTACAGCTCTTCAAGGCTGGGAGCATCCTTTCTGCGTGGGAGCAAAAGCTTCGAGAATGAATGGCCACGAGATGCCTGGAAAATTCAGGGCCCTGGACCATTCAGTAGAGCCTTTTTCTCCAGAAGCTGTCTATCTGCTCCCCACGTATCTCCGGTTCCCTGATTGTGCATCTTAAAAAGACCCTCGCCTGGCAACAATGTTGAATCCGGAGAAGTCATGGGCTTAAGACTACAACGCCCAGATTCCCCCCCAGCCCGCATATCCAGGACGAAAGCGTGGGCACTGGCTGTTTACGTCCCTATTAGGATACATACGGTAGACGGGAAAATGCTGCCGAAGCGGGGTTAAAAAAGGGTCGAGCCCTTCTATTCGATGATGGCGGTAGCTCTGGCAGCGGGCAACATGGCAGCGCTCTCGGGGGCGTCAGAGAGCTGGCGGCGCCACGGCGCAT